GTATTAATAATATATTCATTCTATTAAGAACAATGAACTGAATCCAATATTTTAGAGCATGAAGATTTTATTGTTAAGGCATGGATAAATTGTTCAAATATAATCAATAATAATTATTATTAATTTCTAAAATAAATGAAAAAGCATTCTTTGGCTGAATAAGTATTAATGAACAAGAAACACAAGTATCAGTTTTTTCCATAATGCTACTACAATGATATGAACCACCAGTTTTTGATACATAACCAATTAAATAATCTAAACCATAAGCACCTAAACGAAGATCTTGACTATCTTGAATTAATGGAAAAATTAAAGGCAAAAGTTCAAATAAAATCAGTAGTATAATCATCAGATAAAGAATAAAAGAATTATATGAGATAGAAAAGAGAGGAAGTAAAAAAGAAAAAAAATTAAAGAGAGTTGTATGGAAATTAAGAAGGATTCATATAATGATAATGATGATGAAATTGAAAATGATGATTATGTTAAAAAATAATTTAATATGCAAAAGAGAAGAAAATGGTTAAGTCATATAAAAAAGTAGAACATTATTAAGAGTAATGGAGCATTTAAGAAAAGTAATATAAAAAAGCATCAAAAAGTATTTGTTTATGATTTTTGTATCTTAAATGATTGGAAAATTAGCTATATTGCAGTATAATTATAATTTAAATTCAATAAAGTAAAACAAAGAATATTTAACTTTTTTCATCTTCTTCTAAGATTATATCAAGTACTATTAGATAATTTGCTGCTTCAATAATTCTATAGAATTATTGAAGTCAAGATATTCCACTTTCATTAGTGAATTAGAAAAACAGAAATCTAATTTTGATAAATTATAAAATTTTGTTGATAAGATATCAAAATAAGATTTAATTAAATATTTAAGAAATAGAGAACTTGTATAATTTAATGTAAAGTATTAAAAAATAGATTATTTTATGCTTAATCAAAAATGATAATTATTAATTAAACATCCCTTAATCTTTGATATGAAAACCAATAAATTTACTTGAGTATCAGACAACTTTATCTACTTATAGACTCATCAACTATTCTCATTACTCATTATCACTAATTTATTTATGATTCTAATAATTCTTTTTTCATATAATAGATATAATTCTATTTTCCTGGTTTTAATTCTTTGTATAAGAAATTTTCTTTAATTTATTTTATTTGAAATTGTATTCATTTTCATTTATATAGATGAGTTACATACCAAATGTATAATTATCTATGGTGATGGAATTGATTGTATAGATTAGTTTAAAAATTTAGATAAGAGATTTCATCCATTAATAAAAAATTCTTTAATGTTTGGGTGTTGAATAATGAGATGATCATAGTTTAGTAATGTATGATGATTTTTCTCTTGTAAAGTACTCATGTTAAAAATCATATATTATGTGTAAATTTATTAAATATGAGGCTGAATATTAAAATCTAGATTGCAAATGCTTTGAAATTTTGGATTATCGGAAAATTACAGGAAATGAGCAATAAGGTGATGCAAATTATATTCTATTCATTTTTGCTTATTTTAATATAATTACTATTGTCATACTTTGAATTGGTTATTACTTTGATAAATCTAAAAATAATCATTATTGAGTGTGTGTGGAGATGGAATTGTAAAATCTGATAAGCTGCTTGTTTTCTTTTAGTTTGATTAGGAATTACTGAAAAAGATTAATTACAAATTGAAATAAATCAGATTATTAATGACATTCTATTTTTCCTTTCCATCATAATTCATGATTTAAGTTTTCCTTTATTTTGGATTTCATCTTACTTCACTATCAAAATTTTAAACTATTCTCTCGCAATAATACTTTTACTTTAAGTAACATTATGTTCTTCTATTATTTTCAAATAAAAACATAATTTATGATTACAATTATACTTTTGAAAATGCATAAAAATACTAATCAATTGTTATGTGTATCTTTGCTAGGTAAAATAAAAGTCTATTACAACTAAATGCTTTTTTATTGCATCCGCACAAGTCACTTTAGACTTATTAGTATCTATTTAACTTTATGAATCATTAAATGCAATTGTGTAGTTGTAATCCTAATTTAAGACTTAATATTATTATATATATAATAAAAAAATACTACAGATTTTAATTACAAAAAACTCTTGCAATTATGGTAATCCAAGACATTTTATTATCTTTATTATTTACCAAACATCATAGAATGGAAAATATATAAATGTAATGACTTTTTATTCTTAGTCTTGTTAATTTTTATATTGTCTAATGGATTTATCTCTATTTGACCCTTAATTTATCAATTATATCAACAGTTCCAAGAATTTACATCATTATCATTTTAATGCTTCTTACAATTTGCAAGATAATGGTTTAATTATTTCCTTAATAAATCATATATTTATCAATAATCAGCATAACCTAAGATATATTATGTGAAATGTATCTATGATATTAGTTAAAAATCATAACGATTAAAATTTTCAACTAATAGACTAATTAAAACATAATCTACATAAAAGTAATTATTTACAATATTCTAAAATTTAGGTAATCAAGTGTTACTAGGAAATTATACATTTTTAATTTTGTATATCTTCTTCTTAAAACAATAAATATTTCATAAATATGATAATTTTTTTTCTTATTTAGTTTCTGAAGAATTCTGTTTACTTATTTTAAAAGCAAATCTTTATATTGTTAACTTTTATTAAATAAATAAAAATGATTTTTAAAAATGAAGAAGTAATAGAAACTAATGAAAAAGTCATCAGGAAATGTCTAAAATCAAAAATTCCCGTGAATCTAAAGATTATGTATGAAAAAGGTTAATAATTGTTCTTATTTTTAATTAATACTTGATAGAATTAAGTAAAATCCATGTTTGAATAACTTGATTGGGTTAGTTTTGGGGTGCAATATATGTCTATAAAGATATAATTAAAATTAATCCAACACATGATCTATCATATTAAAAAATAGGTATTCCATATTCTTAATAAATTAGATGATATCTTAAGAGATTTAAAATCTTATTAATAAGCAAAGAAATTTTATGATTAATGCATTTCAATACATCTAAATAATTCAAACACTTAATTTGGGAAAGTTTTAATAGAATATATTATTTAGGCGAATCTTTATTAATTTTGAAATTGTTTTTGGTCTAAGGGAGACTTATTAATTTAATGAAACCTTATAATATTATGTAAAAGCTATTGAAATTGATAAATCTAAGTTAGAGTAGTACATGAGTTAGGGTAAAATATGAAGATAAATAAATTAGGAGAATGCTTAGTCAACTTAAGTAAAATCTCAAGAAGCATTAGATGTTTATGATACATGTTTAATGATAGATGAAAATAATGCTGAAAGCATACATAAGAAAAGGTATAAATGAATATTAAAAGAAAAGGAACATCTTTAGTGTTGTTATATAGATATGATGAAGCATTATAAAATTTACACTAATAATAACCGATTTAATAAACTTTGACAATTGGACTTAATGGACGAGGTAAAATGAAAAATATATGTTAGGGTTATATTGTTTATGGTGTAGGGATGATTATTAGAAAGCATTAGAATATCTTGATAAAGCTTTGGCCATTAATCCTTAATATATATATTCTTTACATAACAAAAATTTTAATACATTAGTTAAAGGTGATTGCTTATATAATATGGGTCAATATGAATAAGCTATTGAATGGTACGATAAAGCTTTGGCCATCGATCCTTAATATATAAATTCTTTAAATGGCAAAGGTAAATTTTAATACATTATCTAAGGTGATTGCTCAATGAAATGAAAACATTCATATTAAAAAATATTTAGTTTGGGTCAATATGAATAGGCTATTGAATGGTATGAATAAGCTTTGGCCATCAATCCTTAATATTTATAATCTTTAAATGGCAAAAGTAAAATAATTATCTTTATTTTAAGAATTTTGCCTTTAACAACTAAATAATTGATTCATTGATTTAATAAAGATATTTTTTAAAATATTTTATTTTTCAATAAATTACTATTTCTTTACCTTTTATTAATTTATTTTATATTATTTTTAAGATATGATTCTAATATATAATTATTTAAATTCTACACTAAAATTAATTTTAAACTTTACATCAATTAAATAAATTACTTTATTATAGAAATATATATATACTGTTTATTAGATATTATTATTGATCAATCCTATTAGTTAATAAATTTCTTTTCATTACATTATATAACTTCCTAATTGCCAATATAATTCTAACTTTATATACCTTATTAATAAAATATATAACTTGCTTTTACATATGCTATCTTATAAATTATTGAAATCATTTTTGATTAATTTTATATTCAAACCAATTTTAATAGTTTAACATTAGAAATTACTATAAATTAATATTAGGAGACTTTAAATAAGAATATAATTTTTAAAATATAAATTTAATAATATTGTAATCTGATCTACTCTTAATTTTTTATTAATATCTACACTTTAACTAATTAAAAACCTTAAAGATAATTTAAGTGTTACTTTTAAATTAAAATTCAAATGTTAAACTAAATACGTATTTAGAATATATTTCCTTTGATCTACATTTAACTAAGAATCATACTTTTGATGAAAGTTATTATTAAAACAAATCACTTTTCAAATTTATAGTTTTCTCCAAATATCAATATTAATCACAGAATTTATGGTTTAATAAAAGAAAAGGGTTTTTAAAAATAAATAATATCTCATAAATAGTGACATAACTTTAATTAAATCTTGTTATGAAATAAAAGAGAAATTAAATAAAATTATCTACATAATCAATAAAGGATACAAGTGCTAAATTTAGTAAAATTGACCTAAATCTAAAGATTATAAGCTGAAACTATAAATCAGCTACACAATTTATGGGGCTTTTTTATCATCCACAAGAACCACTACCTTTTGGAGAGAAGATATAGACAGTAAGATTTTAATTTTACTAATTATAGTGCAGGAAAAGTAATACTATTTATAGGGAATTTAATTAATTATTTCGAAATTTTTATAAAATTATTACAATTTAAGATTTTATTTATGAGATATTGATAACACAATAATGGATAAGAAATATTTTGCAATCCTTAGGTATTGGCAATTTAGAATTTTTGATAATATTGAAATTTATTATTACTTATAGGTAAAGATTGATTTTGATATTAATTCTTTCTTTTCTTTTTTATAATGAAATTTAACTTTAATTGCAGCATAATTTTTGATTCATTAATATCAAAATTGAAATTCTATAATCGAAATGAGTAAGTCCATATATGACAATCATTAAAATATAGGCATTTAATTATTTATTATTAAAAAAAATCATCATAATATATCATATCGTAATTTAGATAAAATTTTTCTATTCTAATTCTTTTCAAATTTAAATTAAAACTTAAATGATATCTTTTTTCTTGATAAACTCATATAATAATATCAAATTATAATTATGTTACATAATAAAGCATCAATTTTAATAAAGTGATTATGAAAAAATAAAAATATAAAAATATGGCTTGATAAAGTATCTAGAAAAACTTTTATTTGATATTAATCTGATAAAAATCAATATAATATTGACAATTAATGCTTTGTCTTTTAAAAGATTGCTAAGTTAGACTGTTAACATTATTCTTTTGGATCTAATTATATGTTCTCGAATATAAATATTTGTAAGACTATTTATATCTTAATTGTTTGTTGAAATTTAATAATTATATAAATCAAAAACTTATGAAATTATCAATTAAACTATATTTCACTATTTAAAACTTAATTACATAATCCGACAATGTATTTAAATTGATCTATTTTAATTTGAAAATTGTAGTAAATAATTTGGAGATCCTCCAAAAATGAGGATTGATTTGAGTAATGATCTTCAAGATTTCTTTGAATTTAACTTTCCAATCCTAGTTCTTTAATAAATATCCCATTATCTAAAATTAAAATCTTAAAGTAGCTTTCCTTAAATATTAATATCTTTAATATTAATGTCTATGTTTAATAATTTACTTGACTTTTCCAGTTCCGTTTTATAGGAAATCCTTTAAATAAGAGAAATTTAACTCAACAATAACTTAAAGTTCCATTTCACTTAAGGAATTTGAAAAAACTGTATTAAAATTAATTAGGTTAAACTTCTTAAATAAATCTTTTGAATCAATGGTTGTTGAAGATTAAGTTTATTATTGGAAGTAGAAAAGAGTAATATTAAGCTTAGAATTAAAATCAGGAAGTTTAAAACCTTTAATTAATAACTTAAAGGGATTTTATTCCCTTAAAGCTTAGTTAACAAAGATTCAATTTTTTCTTGCATGAATAGATTAATCCTTTCTATAAAAAATAGATCAAATCTAAGATAGTTTATTTATAAAACCAATAAAAAAAGAATAAAATGAAAGAGAATAAGGGATTTTCTTTTTTTGATAGAAAACAAGATTAAAACCTGATAAATTTTAAGTAATGGGGTCCAAAATTTTAAATGAGCAGTTTTCAATTTATTCAATTGTAACAGTTAGTAGATTTGAATTGAAATTAAACATTAAGAATGAGTATATAAAATATTTATATAACATAATCACAGTTAAACCTTTTTTTAGATATAATTGAAAAAGAAATTAAAAATTTAAATCTCTAATTTATTGATTTAATACTGGAAGAATTGGAAAATAATGACATAGATAAGTTAGGTTAGATTTTAGAAGGTAAATTGAGAATTGAATATCTAAAATAATTCTTATTCACTTAATATAGGCAAGTTAAAGATTACTTAAGAAAAGAAATCAAACCATTTTATTTTAAAATTAAAAATGAATAAATAATTTCCAATAATTGAGTAGGAGTTTAATTATTATTCATCATTTAAAATTAGATTAGAGAGCATAATTGAATGAGTGGAAGAAAAAAAATAGCTGTAAAGTATTATATGGGTTAGGATTGTCTTTGTATAGACAAATTGTAAATGATCTAAACTAAAGATAAAAGAATGTTATATTTGTCTTAATTATTATAATAGTGATTAAATAGAAAACACTTTAAAAATATTATAAAAATTAAGGAATTTAGAATAAATTAAAATCTTTAATGGATAGGATAATATAGTAGAAACAATTTAAAAGTTGGAAATGGACAGCAAAATGGAAAGATATTTATTAAGTTAATAAAATGTTATTTAAATAAATATTATTTTATAGTGGTGGTGGAGATTACAATGTTGGAGGAATGGTAAATGAATAGAACTGATTGATGTATTTAGGAAATATTTGTAAGTCTATTATAACGGTGAATATAAAAATGGGAGAAAATTAGTACTTGGGTATATTAGATAAAGCGGGAGATGAGAAATAGGGTTTAATGAATTATAATAATTGAATAATAGTAATATCTATTTCAATTGCAAATATTGTTATAATTAAGTAAAAAATATAATTTTTATAGATAAATTTGTTTTTTTATTTTTAAATTTATACTTGAATTCAAGTATTACTAAGCAGAATAAAGTTAAAAGAGAATTATTAAAAAATCAATAAATAAGTATCAAATAGTAACATGAATATATTCCAAATTTTTATTTAATTTTTATAAAATGAAAAAGCAAATTTAATCTTTTTAAAAACAATAAATGCTATCAATATATATAGTAATGATATGAATTTTAGACAGTAATAAATTTTACCGTACTTATATTTTTAATTATTGGCATTTAAATAAATGAAAACAATTCATTAATTGGATTAATTAATTATAGTATAGAAGTATTATTAGATCTTCTAATATATTCTAATTATTTTACTATGTAGGATCTGATGAATTCCAAATTGGAAAAATTGATTATGAATTAGGGATTATAAACTCCTGAGCCTTACTTTAATTTCATAAAACAACTATATCAAAAGCTCAAGTTGATTTATAGTTTCAATATAAGTTGTTAATTTAATTAATTTTGGTTGAGAAAGACTTCCAAATAAATAGTTTCAACATATTGATCACTATTAAAATTCTAATTATTCTATTTTTTACTCAAACTCAACTGTGATAGAATAAAAAGAAAGTAAACTCTAAAAATATGGCATGACAAATCTATTGAGTAAGTTTAATAACATGTTTCATAATGATGTATATTTTTATCCAAGTTAAAAAAATGAAGAATCTAATTTTTTTATATTATATTCTTGAAATAAATTAGATGCATATCTATTTTAGAAACTTATTATTCTAAACATTCAGATATAAATTTAATTAAGTAATGTTCTTATTCTTGATTTTCCAATTTCTAAGTTAACAATCAAAAATAAGAATCGTAATTACCAAAAGTTAATTAAATCAATTTAATTGATTTATCTTAATTTTAATCTAAGATTATTTAAGAATTGACACCATTAATCAATAATTAAATTAAATATTAACTTTAGATTAAATTATAATCAAATTAAGATCATTAATAATAATTAATCAAATCATAATCGTAAGTATTATAAATATTATAATAATAACCAATCAAAACTTCATCTTAATTTTATATAAAACCATTTATTATTATATAATTAATCATAATTCAATTTAATAATTAGAATAGGGTTATGCAATTGCTTTAAATAAAGATTGCTCTACTGTAGCAGCTGGTGGTGAGAATTTAATAAAAATATATGAATTCAAGTTATTTTTAATAAATAGAGCAATTTTTGAAGGGTCTGAGGAGCTGTTTATATTATACTAATTGTGCAATTATATTTATATTTTAAAGTTTCACTAAAGAATATATAGCTCAAGTGTCTTGAGGACTATTTCTTAAATTATAATTTATTCAAAAAAATAAGATAGTTGCATGTTATTATAAAGATGATCTTGAAAGAGAAAGTAATATTGACAAATCCAACAAAAATCATAGAATTAATTGAAATAATTACTTATAAAATGTGAGGATATACTAAAAAGATAATTTTCACATTCCATTAGGAATTACTATTTCTTCTTATTAATACTTTGATTTAGAAATTCTAAATTAACTACTTTTAATTTTACATTTTTTATTCCAGTTTTGAATAAATTTTATCAATAAATGAAGAAATTAGCAAATCCCTTTCGTTTAATTTCTCACAATGCCATAATTTTGACTAATAATATTATTTTAACAATATTATCAGGTACATTTTCTTAAACAAGATTATAATTTAATTAAGAAAATAAAGATTTTAAAATAGATAATTAAATTATCAATTTTATCTTTTTATTAATAAAGATGTTGTTTTAAGACTAAAAATATATTGTAATATAATAAATATGCTCAAATATGTTACCTAACCATCATAGTAAATTACTTCCTTCATCACAGAATACCTAATTGTCGACATAAACAATTTCAAATGCTAAATAGAAGATTATATGAATTCAACCTCTTGTAGTTTAACTTATTGTGATCTTAAAATAATGCTAAAAGTTGCATTATAAAGATGAATTTAAGATGAAATTTATTAAAAACTTTATAATTGGACTAAAAAAAAATAAGAATATTGGAGAGCATATTACAATTGTGTAGATATAGTCATTAAATAGTTGATAATTTTTAGTTATTAGTCTTATTAGCATTTGAACCCTTATTTCTATTTTAATTTATGTATTGGATAATATCAAAAGAATTAAAGACATAATTTTAGAGATTCGATTAAAATCTTTTTAAATTAATTCTTTTTATAAATAAGTTTCACCACTAATCTTAATTAAAGTCTTTAATGACTTTTATTTATAATATAAAATATTGCAAAATTATAAATTAACATACATTCTGGATTTACATCAAAGATTAATATGAAGTTTAGTTAATTCTATGGTTTATTTGATTGTTTTTTTATTAGTCACTTATATATTTTAATAATATATTTCAGAATTATTTGGAGTTTATTAACTGCAGCTTATTTTTTTCAAACTTTTTTTGAAATTTTTAGCTATATTGGCAAGGCTTGATTAATATTAACTCTCAAAAACGAATAATTTTTTATTGATATTTGGAAATATGAAATTTTTTTTTATCGATATGATAGAATAAACCATCTTTTCTGAATTCTTTCATGTTGTTTGCCTTTGATGCTTCTCTATGGCACAGTTATTCCAGCTATTTTTTTATATATTAAAAATTAAAAATGTTGTTTAAACAACCTCCTATTAGATCAACTTTTGATTATCTATATATCAATACAAATAAAGAACCTATTCTTGAGAGATTGTTAAAATTCTTTAGCAAGAGTTAAGCATTATTATATTAGTATATTATTAGGATTGTATATTTATAATGGCATTACTTGTATTTTTAAGTTTAATCGTCTACATATTTTGAACTAGCTTGGTTTAAACCTATTTAATAAAAAAATGAATTAGTTTAATAAGTTGCCAGCCATTATTTGTTCTTGTCTCTATTATTTTAGCAAGGCATACATTTTTAGCTCAATATTCTCTTCCTATTTTGAAATAATTTGGCTGTGTTATTTCAAAAAATATTAAATAGCCAGAATCAAAAAATGATTTGCAACAATCAAAGATTATATAATTACTTAGACTCTACATATTATTAAATATAATATGATTGATATAGATAAAGTTAAGAATTTATTAAATCCTGTAAGGCTAGAATTTAGGAGTGGCCTTATAAGAAAGCATTTAATTTAATTTTTAACTTAATAAATGTAGCCTGAGATCATTCCATGATTTATTATTCTAGTCACTACTACTATTTCTAAGAATTCTATAAGGATTTTAAAATCATCTTGAATTAGACCTTACCAAGGGTGCTATTCAGATTTATTTTCAAATAACCAAAAGGTTAGTTTATACTCTGTCTGAAAAGATTACCTTATCTTATAATTGAGAGTAAATGATATTTAGAAATTTGAAGATACATGAAGTAAACTATTTTTAATTTTTTGAATTTAAAGGAAAAAGTTCTTATTGTAAATTATAATGAAGGGGTGACTAGGACTAATATATTTTATAGATGTTTAGATTTATTACTATAATTCATATGTATTTTATTGATCTTTTAGTTTTAAAGCATTATAAGAAAGAGGCGATTTTATGATACCATTATTTCTATAAACAACACTATTCATTTTTTTCAAGTAATAGCAATTATTTAAAATTTAATGAGAACTTTTTGAGTCTCTAATTATTAATCTAATAAGCTTAGATTGGATAAAGAACTAAAACTTTTAATAACTAATATTTAATGCTGATTACGATCTGATAATTTATGGGATTACAAATAAGGTAACTGCTATTCTATTCATAAATAATCAATCAACTCATCCAATCTTCTTTTCAGAATTTTAATTTTTTTTTAAGTTGATAAATTAATCTAAAATTAGAAACAATATCTAATAAAATAAAATTGAAAATAGTTTTTAGATGAAATTACTGATATATATTTAAATATGGAAGCAATTTATTAATTGAATCTCATCTTCAAGAATTGTTAAATATTATCCATACTAATAATATTCCAAAAATAGATAGATATAAATTTGTTTTATTCTATATGTTTAATAAAATTTTTTGGTGTTGTCAAATTGGAACACTAAATTCCTATTGACAAAAAAATAATAATTATTTTGGTAGTAACTAATTCAATATTATTATTAAGTGTACTTATTTAGTGATCAAAAGGATGTAATTTGATGCTCAAAACTTTTGATGTATTTTCTACTTAATTTAGTTTTACTTAATTATAATTAGATTATTATACTCATTTTATTGGTCTATTGTAGAAAAGAATAATAAATGAATAAATTTGAAGATGTATTCAATTAAATTTCATATCATAGGCTCTACCTGTGCTAAAGTTCATTTAAAAGTTCAATTAATGAAATAAGAGAGATTTTTTACACTAATTATAATAAATTAAATGCATTGAATAAAATATTTTTCATCAAACCGTAAATGAGACAATAAATCAATTACATTGCGTTTACATCTATGCATAATTAAAGAATTGATGTATTTCATATTATAAAACTGAAATATGGTGTGTTAATTGGATAAAAAAGTCTGCTCATCTAAGAAATCATTAGGCCTTTTTCAAAAATTTAGATTTCACTCAAAATCAAGATATATTGAGCTTGTTTTTCTCGGAATAGGCTATTCAAAGCAAAAAGATTTACTTTAATATATTTCCATTAAGAATATAAATCTTATACTTGATAAATTATAGATTCTCTATAACAAATTATTTTCATAAATAGTAAATATTTCAGATCTTAGATCTTCCAAAATCTTCATATAACTTATTTTTTGAAGACCCTTGAGGCTTGTAAGGCTATATTAATTCTATTTAGTCAAATGTGAACCTTTTTCAATTTATGATGCGAATGTAAATTATATTTATGACACGAAATTTTGAAAGGCGTACTTACAATATTATCCTGCAAGGTTATTTATGATTAAATTAACACGCTTTTAACTTTCACAAGAATAATTACTATTAATTCATTGAATTTACAAAGAATTATTTGAATAATATGGTAGAGGAAGAAAATTCATCAAGTGGATCCATTATAACATTAATATTTTATAAATTGTTGTAAAATATATATTTTATATTAATAATCAAAAGAGAAACTCATTAGGGTTAAACAATTATCATAGATTAATAAAGATATTTTATTATAAACTTAATAAAATGAGAATAATATTTTAATAGAAAAAGGGAATTATTAAATATCTTATTTTTATTAATTATATTAATGTCATCTGATCTAGATAAGAAATTGTGTTAAAAGCATAAATTAGAAATTTTAACAATAGATTTAAAATAATCAACTGCTGATGAGGACAAATACCTTTGTATTAAGTGCCTAAGGGAAAAAATTGATATTTAAAACATGGCTTTGGTTGAAGAGACAAANTAAATTCCTATTGACAAAAAAATAATAATTATTTTGGTAGTAACTAATTCAATATTATTATTAAGTGTACTTATTTAGTGATCAAAAGGATGTAATTTGATGCTCAAAACTTTTGATGTATTTTCTACTTAATTTAGTTTTACTTAATTATAATTAGATTATTATACTCATTTTATTGGTCTATTGTAGAAAAGAATAATAAATGAATAAATTTGAAGATGTATTCAATTAAATTTCATATCATAGGCTCTACCTGTGCTAAAGTTCATTAAAAGTTCAGTTAATGATAATAAATGAAATGAATTGAATATAATAGTTTTCATCAAACCGTAAGTGAGACAATAAATCAATTACATTGCTTTTACATCTATGCATAATTGAAGAATTGATGTTTTTCATATTATAAAATCTGAAATAAGGTGTGTTAATTTGATAGAAGAGTCTGCTCATCTAAGAAATCATTAGGCCTTTTTCAAAAATTTAGATTTCACTCAAAATCAATATATATTGAGCTTGTTTTTCTCGAAATAGGCTATTCAAATCAAAAAGATTTACTTTAATATATTTCCATTAAGAATATACATCATATACTTGATAAATTATAGATTCTCTATAAAAAATTATTTTCATAAATAGTAAAGATTTCAGATCTTAGATCTTCCAAAATCTCCATATAACTTAATTTTTGAGGACCCTTGAGACATGTAAGGCTATATTAACTCTATTTAGTCAAATGTGAATCTTTTTCAATATATGATGCGAATGTAAATTATATATATGAAACGAAATTTTGAAAACGTACTTACAAAATTATCCTGCAAAGTTATTTATGATTAAATTAACACGCTTTTAACTTTCACAAGAATAATTACTATTAATTCATTGAATTTACAAAGAATTATTTTAGTAATATGCTAGAAGAAGAAATTTCATCAAGTGGATCCATTATAACATTAATATTTTATAAATTGTTGTAAAATATATATTTTATATTAATAATCAAAAGAGAAACTCATTAGGGTTAAACAATTATCATAGATTAATAAAGATATTTTATTATAAACTTAATAAAATGAGAATAATATTTTAATAGAAAAAGGGAATTATTAAATATCTTATTTTTATTAATTATATTAATGTCATCTGATCTAGATAAGAAATTGTGTTAAAAGCATAAATTAGAAATTTTAACAATAGATTTAAAATAATCAACTGCTGATGAGGACAAATACCTTTGTATTAAGTGCCTAATGGAAAAAATTGATATTTAAAACATGGCTTTGGTTGAAGAGACAAAAACAATGATTAAGTAAATGAAAAGTGAGCAATTGAATAACAAAATCAAAGAATATTAAAGTAGGATTAAAAGTTTTAGATAAATACAATCATAAGTTAAAGAATTTAAATTATTGATCAACAATACTATTGACAAAGTTTAAAGTAACATAGATTAGAAAATCACTCTAATGGAGAATGAACTAGATGAATCAGAATC